GACTGGTGCCCTGCAGTATGAGAGGCAGAGATCGAGTGGCTGAGCAGATTGCAGACAGGGAGAAAGTGTACATTTTGCAATGCAAAGGTGTGTGATGCATTAACTCTCTGCAGTGCTCCAGGCGCGCAGTGGGGGGTGGGTGAGAGAGAAGGGCAGTGTGGCAGCCCTGTCAGCTCTGTCAGGCAGTAACATCTTGTGGAGCTGAGTGGGTTTGAACTGACCACTTCCTGCTCCCTCACTCACTCGCTGGCGTTTGGCAGCATAATCCTGACTGGGCATCCTGCCCAGTGACAGCTACACTCACAGGATTTCACCGGCTGTAATCCCTGGATTGTGGGTGTATTAATGCAGAATCTGCTGTGTGTTTCAGTGTAATCCAAGAGAGTTAACTCTCCTCTTCATCCCTATGTCCCTGCGCACCCCCACCCCGGAGATCGGGGGCGGGTATGCCACACGTAGAAGATTACACCCCCCCCCTGTGAAGGTGAGACAGGTCCAGAGCAGGAGAGAGGGGTCAAGCGCTGTCCCTGCGCAGGAGAGAGGGGTCCACAGGCAGTCTGTGCAACAGAACAGGATCTCATCCACCAGCAGGTTCCAGGGGACAGCAGTCCCAGCAACATGGGCACAGGGCCCCCATTTCAGGAATGGGGCGATTCGCTGGCCAGTTGGATATGTGTGGGAGACCCTGAGGTGTTCAGACTGAACCCCATTCCTGCAAGGGGGGATTAACGTTCGTGAGACACAGGCCAGCGCTTCCTGTCGGCTGGCAGCAGCGTCACTGTGAAGTTTCTGTTAAACTCTGTTGCTGGGAGAAAGTTATCAAGTGCATCGTTCCCTACGCTTCAATACTGAGAGCTGATAAAAAACAATTTCTTGCTGTCTTGCATTAATTCGATGACGCCAGGTCTTGTCTCCACTTTGCCGGTCTTGATGGGTATCTGCACCCCTCACTGCCAACCTGTCTCACTGGCATCTCTCTCGCTCACAGGTGACGCTTCCTTCCTGTTTCCTGTGATGACATCACTGCGGTGTTGACTGCCAGGCAGGTAGGTGATTATGGGATGTTAGGTGTGACACCATTGATGCTGACACTGCTGTTACTGACATCACTGACATTGCCAATATTATTGAGGACGTTACTGTCCCTGCTGGTGCTACATTTAGAGCTAAGAACAGGTGGCGGTTCTTTACATAAAGGGTGGTGGTAGTCTGGAACAAGCTGCCCAGCCATGTTGTTAAAACTGACACTTTGGCTTCTTTCAAGAACTGGGACTGCTTGGGATCCTCAGATAGGTTAGTTGCTATATATCAAACAGTCTAGATGGGATGAATGGCTCATCTTGATTTTGCCTGTCTCTGCTAGTATACCACTCTGTCTACTGTTGCCATTTTTACTGCTGTTGGTACAAATAGCACTGTTGCTACTCCCCACTCTCGCCCCTCTTTCCTTCTCTCTCTGCGATCTGCTGACTGCAGTCTGGGACTCGCGCAAGGCAGACTGTCTGCTGGATAATTTGGGATAATTTAGGAACTGCATGTGTAGCCGGCTTTGAGCACACTACAATGACAGGTTATCATGTGGCACCTGCCCAGCCTGTTGTTCTGAGCTACTGCAGTCAGGCACAGCTAGTGCTTGCGGTTGCAGCAGGGCCTGATGCAGAAGGGTGGTGTTTATTGCGGGCACCAGTGGGGGTGATGTTGTGGCTTAACTGGATAGTTCCACTGTCAACGTGTCTGGGGAATGAAGAAAACTAATTTTATGAGGCTACTGAGTGTTGTCCCTCTCCTCTCACACTCCCCATGAATTCACACACTGACACACTCCTGACTGGACTGGAGACACTGCT